ATGTCTGCATCCTTTATGACTTTTGCCATCTACACTACAACAGTTTCCATATGTAAGTTTGCACTACCTGTAAGACTAGTGCATTTTTGTTATTTGTCTTATAACATTATTTGGTATACAGTGTAGTTTGGTTCAGAAGTTATAATGGAAACCACACAGTTATGCATGGTCCTACAAAGCATTTTTAATTTGAGAACCTGTGGTAAATGGGCTTTCATTATATTTCAGGCAAGGTTTAAATAGCCATATCTTAAGATTCAGAGCTGAATTGATCTCCAAAATTCCAGCAGATAAGGATCGGCAGTTTGTCATTAGTTACTATCTTTCTGATGACACCATTTCTGTGTATGAAAATGCATTACACAATACAGGTAATGAAGAGTTACAAATTGTTTTCTTCCTTTTCCCCTAAGTACATCTTTCCATTTTATTCAGTAATAAATATATAACCCAAGCAGCTGGAGCAGTGTTGTTAAGTAATGTACACAAAAGTATCAAATTTAGTTTGATTCTAGTTTAGTTTAGTATATTGTGGGCCACATTACCTAAGGGCCTAAGTAAATAGCTATGTGTGTCTTTTGAGTTCTACACAATATTATTTTTGTGATGAATTATATGTGGCACTTATATTGTATTACTTTTATTGTGTTATTTTCATTGATTTTAATTCATTTTAAGGTCTACATTACTTAAGTACTGAAATACAATGTTGTGTGTGCCATCTGAGGGGAAAAGAATCTTGTATAAGTTGTAGGGATCCATATTTACAAGAAACACACTGATTTTGAGAAAATCATGGTCCACATTCTTGTAATCGCTATAATTAGCTGATGTCTTCTTTATTTACAGTTCTCTGGTCTCTTAGCCCTAGTAAGAAGATGGTTATCATGTGTAACTGAAATTTATTCTTTAATGTAATTCCAAAGAGCATATTATCTACTTTTGTAACGTAAGCATTAGCACCATGTTCATGGTCAGTCCAGTGGCCTCTTTGATGTCCGTTAAAATCTCCCTTACTCAATCCATATTTTTGTTGGTCTTCCAAGATTTCTTCTTACAGAATATCACATCTGAGTGGTTAGCCCTCTTGGTTCGTATTCAGATCACACAGAAACAGATATTGGCTTGGAGACCAGCTGTCTGGAAATAATTTTCTTTCATTCTTTTGTTCCCATCATTTATGTCTATAGTCTGGAATATTTATTAATATGTAATTCTTTTTTAATATTTTCACTCATTTTTTGTTCTCAGAATGTAATACTTGTGCCGCTGTTCTCAGAAAAGGCATTTTAGCAGTTTCTGTTCTGTATTTCCTTTTATTGTCTGAACTCCTGATCTGTTTGAAGGAATGTCTTGCCATTGCATTTTGAGGCTTTTTTTTACTGTGCCATTTAGTTTCTGAAATGTTATTAATTTGCTGTTTTTCAGTCAAATTTCTAAAGCCAAACATAGCATATATAATCTTTACTGTGTGGTTTTAGGTTTCATTGGTGGGGAATTTATTAAACGGACTCAGATACCAAAACCAGGACAAGAAATATATACTTCTGAACCTCCTGAATATTTTGGGCCACAGGACTTCTATGTTGGCAACACACTCCTCCTGTATGGTTTTGAATTTTTAATGGTTGAAGCAGATGAATATACATTGCAATATATGGAACTTAACTGTCAAGTGGTAAGTGTATATTAGATAAAAATAATCTTATCCAATTTATTTGTATTTTATTGCAATCCAGCTGGCCATGCACCACAGTAACATACTGCTAAACTGTTTAACCCCATTGTTAAAGTCTGGCCAGCAGCATTATATTTTTGGGGTTTAAGTTTACTCAGCTCATGCAAGAAAGGTTAATTAGCCATAGGAATGTGCTTGATAATAAACCAATAGAACAGGTGCATAAATTAAAACGTTTAGGAACTCAAATAATCCTAATTACAAGAGATATTTGGAAAACAAAAGGCAAGTATTTATATGTATATGGAATGATTTTATAAAAACAGTAGTATGTGTTTGAAATTATATAGAATATTTGTTAAGCAGTGTGAAAATATGGTAATAAAACACAGAAATGGGGTAGCAGACAAAAGAAGAATGGAAGTGGAAAAAATGAGAACTTTAAGGACCATAGCTGAATATACATATATTATGGTTTAATTATGACACTGATTAATGTATTTTGATTCCCAGTCACTATTCTTCCCTATGCAGTCCCTTTCCATCTTCTTCTACTGCTACATCCTGGATTAATTTCATACATCTAACCCTTAGTCTTCCTTCTTGGTGGCACCCGCTCGAGCACTTGTTTTGATTTAGGTGATTAATGAAAAGAAAGTGTGGATAAAATCTTAAGGTGACAAGTGTAGTTAAGTGAAACTAAGAAATAAAAAATTAGCAAAAGTTTTTTTTTATTATTTCAGTTCCCAAAGAGTAACATCATACTGATAAAGAATAAGATTCGTGAAGCACTGAAGCCCATATATAAGCAGTTTGTATGTGAATTTCTAAAGACAGATCCAGATCAGATAGGTGTAATTTGTTATGCCAATCTTAGGTAAGTGTCAAAGGTAAATGTGTTGAATTAAGATGATTTGAGAAGATAAGTGAGAATGATAATGATTCTGCAGTGAAAATGTTTATCTCAAACAGTTATGTCTGCTATTGTGTCACACCTTGCCACAATTTTTACTTGCATGTGTAAATTTATTTGAGTTATAACTCAGTTGAGCATCACTCACATAAACATAATTATCATCATTTGTTAATACACAGATAACTATTAATTTTCTGTTACACAGGACACTCTAACCCAGTGGTCCCCAACATGGCGCCCGCCAAGGCTTTTTTTATTTGGGTGCCCGCGTTGTTACGGAAAGAGGTTATACTGAATAATGAAGGCCGTTCAACCATGAACATTATAACATCAAAGCACAGATCTCTACTTACTGATGCCCATCTTGATGATTGTTTGCAAGCAGCAACATCATCCTACGCTCCCAAATTTGAAAAACTGGCCGATGAAATGCAGCGCCAAACATCACACTAACTTCCCTCTTAAGTAATAATAATTGTACTTATAAAACTATGTATTTTTGATTGCGCGGTTTCTTGTATCATTAAACATTGTGTTGTTTTGTGTATTATTTGGTGTCCATATCTTATTTGTCCAGATAAAAGAAAATTTGGCTTTGTTAATTGGTTGGAGCCCGCCATGATCTCATAAACTCTCAAATGTGCCCGTAGGCACAAAAAGGTTGGGGACCACTGATCTAACCCTTTAAAAATTGTAATGTATGGTTAACCTAACACACATCCAGAGTTCTTGGAACTGTAACTCACATGTAACTTATAATTTCATTAAATATTTATTAACATAGTAATGCACATTTTTCCATTATAGCAAGAAGCTGAAGGAGATTATGGGTGATAGCATCACTCACCATGAACTAATTACTCTTGCTCGTCACTACAATGCTCAGTGCAAAAAGGAATGGTATACAAAAGAATCTCTGAGGTAATTTGATTAGGATTTTATTTGTTATATTTATAAAATATAAATTACTTTATGTATATTTAAGAAAATTTTTAAAAAAGTATTGTTAACCTCTATAGATTTAAAACTAATAACCTTGTGACTATGTGAGAAGGCAGCGTTGTGTGTTTCTGCGACACAAAGTCATAGATAATATATCTGAGTTACTGTATGTTATCAAATATTCTGTACCATTGAATCAGCCACACATCCCATGTTTTTATGAAATAAAATACATTTAAAGTAAATCTATTGATGTATGAAAGCACACAGGTCTAGTATAAATGTGCAAAATATATAGGGTTTTGAATCTTTAACAGAGTTTATTTCTTGTATGGCCTCTTAATTTTCAGAGTGTGATGTTCTTCAACACAAAAATGGTGCATGTTACTATGTTTCAGTTTTCCTATTCAAATTCTGCTTCCGTCAAACATAAAACTGTGTCAGATAAAGATAAAAAATACATATGTAGTTTCTCTAAAGATATGCTTAAAGTTTTCTCCTCCACTGCTTTTGTCATCATCTTCAGCTGACTTCATATGATCAGGATCATTGTTCCATACTTTCAGTCATCACCTACATTTCACATGCATAGAAATTGGTGAACTTTTGTAAATTAAACGCTCTTATTTATGATACACTATACAATTTGCTAATCTTTTCCACGTTTCTGTGTATTTCAGGGAGTTACTCATTTATTCTTCTTCTGTGGCTCTCTGGTCCGTATTCAGTCCATGGCCTCCTCGATTCTCCTCCTCCATTTGGTCCTGATTTATGCCACTTTTAAAGTTTAATGTAATACAGTAGTTAATGTTCTTGGTTTTTCTTATTATATGTAGGTCTGTTGTCCATACAGAAATGAAGCGCTTCCTTTTTAATCAAATGGAGCGTTTACATGAAAGCTTTCTTCAGCAAGACCCTAATCGCAGTGGGTATATATCTAGAGATACAGCCTACGCTGTATGTCGAGGTGCCAAGCTGCCTATCACCAGAGAACTACTTAATGCTGTCTTGGATAAGTAAGCCACGTCAGAATGTTTCAAGTACTATAATAACTGCGTAATATCCTAAGATAATCAGCATATTCATATCAATATTGGTATTTATGGATTTGTTTCAGAATTTTTAAGAATGAAGCTGGAGAAATTGACTACAGGGATTTACTAGGATTTCTAGATCTGAAGCAAAGTCCTCCATATCCTACTGTGCCTACAGATACCCAGGTATGATGTAAACATGCAGCTTTAGATTTGTTACAATTCTGTCATGACTAATAAGCCCCAACCTCATCAAAGTATCAGCAGATTGTGTTTCTAACACTCGTGAATACAGGGCTAGTCTAAATGATGTTCCCAATTTGAAACATGTTACTCACCTTTAATGAAATTCAGATGCACAAAATTAGTACCAATGGAAAGAGAAACTCTCCAAGTTTATGTTGGTATACTTTGTGGCTGCGTAGTAACACTGTTTGCCGCCAGGGGTGATATGAGAGAAAATGGCTGCCATCGAAGACAGGGGAGCCTTTTGTATTCTGGATTTCAATGTTCACCAGACCTGACGCCCTGTGATTTTTTTTCTGTGGGGTTCGTCAAAGATAGAGTATTTGTGCCACCCTTACCACAGACCTTGCTTGGAGCGCGTATCACAGCAGCCATTCCAGCAATCGATCATGATATGTTGCAACGTGTCTGGGAGGAACTCGACTACAGGCTGGATGTGTGTCGAGTTACCAAGGGGGCTCACATTGAACACCTGTGGTGTACTGAAACAAAACTTGGAGAGTTTCTCTTTCCATCGGTACCAATTTTGTGCATCTGAATTTCATTAAACGTGAGTAGCATGTCTTTCAAATCGGGAACATCATTTAGACACTCTGTACTTAAAAGCAGGCAATGGTTTTGTTAAGATGTAACTGAGCCCCACAGGCTGGGCTGCTGGCTTCAAATACAAGCAGCAATAAGAATTTCTCTATTTTTCACCACCTCCAGACCAGTTCTGGGGCCCACCCGGCCTCCTGTCCGTGTGCCAGAGGTTCTGTCTCTCCTAGGATAAGGCAGCCTGTGCATGAAGCTGACTAATCAACTCCATTTAGTACTTGGGTTAAGAATGTGTGGGGCTTTACCTCCATTCCCCTTGTATACTTTCTTGGTATTACGCTTATGCACGGGAGACATTACATGCTGCATTCAGGAGGGGAGATGTCAGTGATAGAAAGTGAATTTATTTTGTCACCAGTAACTGAGCCAGCCAAGAACTGTGCTTTGTCTGCTAATGCATAGGCTGTCAGGCCAGTCACTGGCTTCAGAGTGCATTTGCTTCTTCACTTCTGTTTACAGTTTAGACTTATTAGATTCCAAATAATTTTCATCCATTTTTGATCATTTATGTGCTGCCATTATATCAAGGTACTTTGGGATCTGATTTATAATTCAGTTATTTATTTGTCTTTTGTTTAAATTCTCTTGTTATTAAAGTAAACTGGGCAAAATATGTCAAAATCAAAACAAATGTGAAGCATGAACATAGAAACTGTTGCTAAATTTTTATAAATGCGGTGGATGTCACGTTGTAACACAACCTTCATGTAGTTTTCCTAAAAAAACTTTTTGTTACATTTTTATTATAATTGCACTTGATATTTGAATATTTTATGCATATTAAAAGCTGCATGTTGTTGATGTGGACTGTAAAGATGATTGTGGGTAAATTTGTTTACACAAAATTTTAAGTTTTACTTCTTGTTTCCCATTCTTGGGACGGAGTCCTCTGATCCAACCCATGCACATAACAAAAGAATGACCTGGTTGTCAATTAGTTAATATTAGTTGACGTTGCAGTAAAATTATCATGTTTGTCTATTTTATTTCAGTATGAGTTTTCATTATTTGCTAACAAACCAGAGAGTCGAGTTGGTCCATTAGTAGATTATCAAGCTTTTCTCAAGGATGTTGATTTGGAGAAGCAGGTTGTTGAAGAAAGTGGATAATGAAATCCTGTGGAATTATTTATCTTCCTGTGAGTAATTTTATCTCTTTCAGACTGATCCATAGCATCCGCATATGTGTCTTAATTTTATCAGAGTAAACTCTATTGTGAGATGAATTTTCAAGTGAAGTGGTTTATGAAATTATGTACTAGCCGCATACTTATTTCCTTAGAAGACTAGATTTACAGATCTTTATACTGGTCACTGGTGATTTTAGTACAGTTTTAAAAATCTTAATATACAGTATTATCTACATATTTACTGAATTATTTTATTAATGAATTCATTACTAAGATGGTTCAGAACATTTATTTTAAACATTACTTGTAAAACAATATTAGAAACTGGTAACTTTATATTCCCAATTCTAGAGTTTCTTGAGAATACTGACAAACAAATGAGAAAGAACTAAGTAAATAATTAGATTAGAAGTACAGTCATGTATGAAGATAAAAATACTGTGTATTGTATTTCATCTTAGTCATTATCCAAGATAAAAATCAGTACTGCCTTTTCATAAAAGTTAATGGATAACATGAACATTTATACTAAAATATATTTGAACAAAATTTAAACATTAATATTTACTTGGACAAGAATATGAAAAAAAGTAGTCTCAGTGAAATTCAGAAATTAAAAAATTTCAGAAAACACAAGGATTGTGTTACTCCAGGATGACATGCCCTTGTTTCAGTCTTCTCAGATCTTCTTCAAGGGTGCTTAAATTCTTGGACAAATTCCTGATCTCTTCACAGCGTTTTTGGTATTCATAATTATATAATTGTTTTTCTTCAGCCAGCTGAGATCTGCAGAAAGCGATGTAGCACATTAAGATTTTAAGGGGTTGGTTGCACAGCTTAAATTTTCTCTTACCTTTATCATTTCAAGGTTTCTTAGTCACAGATGTAGTGCATTTTATATGAAACCACTTTCACTTTGACAGTGGAAGTGTTAATAAGGCACATACAAGTAGTTCAGTATATCTCACTTTGCGTTAAATATTTTGTAGTTCATACACCTGTCATTAGTTTTCTCTCTTCTGTTCTTTTCCGGTTTAACAATGTTTGTACATTTTCCGGTACCCTTTATGGGTCCCCAACTTTTCGTTGGCTTGATCTATAGACATTCGGTAGGACACCTTGGACGAGGGATCGGCCCGTCACAAGGCCTCTACCTGTACACAGGACAGCACAACACAGAAAAATGCAGACAAACATCCATGGCTTGAGTGGGATTCGAACCCACGGTCCCCGCGACCAAGCGGCACAAGGCCCACGCCTCAGACCGCGTGGCCACTGCGGAACCCTCATTAGTTTCCTTTATTGAATAAATTTCTTATCATAGTTTAGTAATAAAGAGATTTAAACATACATGACATGTTGCAGTGCTGACAACTGAAGAGTACCTCCTTCGGTTATGTCCGATTTATCCAATGATTCTTTAAACATTGATCCATATTTTGCACGAAAATCATTCAGTTTTTCTTCAAGTGATACCAGTTGTTTATCAATGGCACTATTTTCTTGCCGCAAGCTGGAGATCTCGTCTGCTATGTTTTTTCTATCCTAAGTATAATAAAAAAATCAACTTTTTTTAGTGTCGTAACAGTAGTTCTGTACTTTCATACGTTGTTTGATTTACAATAAAATATTTGGTAAATGTTCATGATAGATAACTAACTAACTAGATGGCTTACGAAACCCGAGGTTTTATCACCGGATTAACCAAAGCCCTCAATCGGACCCTGACCTGGGCAAAATGTTCATGATACTTACATAAATTTTTGATCCACTCCGTAGATTATCAGCAATCGAAGCCATTTTATTTTCATAGACTTTTCTGTAAGAGGAATTAATTTTTATTTTATTAGTGCTAAGAAAGGCATCACTGTCAGTTATTAATACTGTACACATTCTAGTTGAATATTTCACATTTAATCAAAGAAATGTTGATGCTTTATAGTCCGAGCGTCTGACAGTGTTATTAAATAAAACACAGATATATTAAGTACGCTAATAATTATTGTTAGTACATCACAAATAGCTGAATGGTTCTTAATCATATGTGGAGCTGAAATAAATGGAATAACTGATTATAATGGAATTGTGCTATGTATTATATACAGTGATTCATAGAAGTTTTTTTTCAAAAACTTCCTGCACTCGACTAGTACTGATTAAAATAAGAGGCTGTTTGACTGGCTTGTGATTTGTAAATGTACATGAGTCCATTTGAAGATTTCTGTTTCCTGGGTTGTTGCGCTGTGTAGTCTGGTCGATGTTAACCAACGTTTCAGAGGTCATACTGCCTCCGTCATCAGGGCGATGAATATTCAACCCAGAAGACAGAAATCTTCATACTGACCTCTGTGAAAACCTCAAATCTTACATGAGTCCATTTATTTGGACACACCAGCATATCCAATTATCTAGTTTATTTTGTTTGAATTTCAAATTGTTAGGCTCAGAGTGACACTGAACAACAGCGTGATTTCCTTAGTATCATATTGAGTCTAACAAAGGTTTGAGAGAATTATTTTTGATTAATACCAATAAGAGGACTTAGTCAAAATGCTTATCAGCAGAAGAGGATTTTACGTTCATAGGTACATGTTCCCGTAATACTCACAAATACTCAATCTGAACTTGCTTCTCTTTCTTAATTTGACACTCTATTTCCTTTGCTTCTTTTTGTGAACTCTGTGAAGTAGCTTGTACTTTGGCCAGTGCTGCCTCCTTTTTCAGTGTTCTGATACAACAAGTCTCTATTTCATCTATAAACACACGTGAAGCACCAAAATTTCTATTTTTGAAATGAAATTGTCTGTGTGAGCGTAATCATTTACAGCATTGAAATGATTGATGACCTTACTGTGTCTTAAGCATATATTCTTTTCATAAAATATTTAATACCTATATCTAATGTACACATGCACATACATATATCTCTCTCTCTATCTATCTTCCCCCCCCCCAAATCCTAGGATTGGTTTGCAACCCCATTTTGGGGTTGTTTCTTGCGAAAGTACCACGGTAGTTTCGCTTTGCCTTGCGTGGCCAGCTTTATCCATCAGACTGGAAGAGAAAGGACGCAGACAAACATCCGTGCCTTGAGTGGGACTCGAATCCATGGTCGCAACGGCTGGGCGCATGAGGACCGTGCCTCAGACCGCGTGGCCACTGCGCCGGCCACATACAACATACAGGCCTCAGTGATCCCAAGAGCTATGCTGGCAGTAGCATAGCTACTGGTAGGGTGAAGGGGGAGAGGTCAGACTAAGACAGGTACCCTGGTCCTCCAGGTTGGGGGTTGGTCGCAAGGCTAACAACCTTGCACCGTAAAAAGGAAGAGGAGAATTGAGGAGGCCATGGACCGAATACGGACCGGAGAGCCATAGAAGAAGAAGAAGAAGACACTGTACCCTATTCTGATCCAGTTCAATCCAATCACAACCTATTTTCTTAAGTTCCATTTTTATATTTGTGTTTGTCGCCTGAATGTTCTTCCATGACGTCAATCAAAACTCTTTATGTCTATGTTCTTAACTCGCTGTGCCTTAATAGTGAGCCAGACTCAGAGACACAGCGAAAGATCAATTTATGAACCCACTATTTAAACTCATTTAACTTTCTGATGTAATGTTAGCTGTGGCATTTAAAGTACATAAGGGCTTAACACAATTGGATTCATTAAGTTTAATATTAACATAAGAATTTCTTAGTACGGTTTCGGTCCTCTCTGTGCCTCCGTGTTACTCACCTCTTAATAAAATCCTCTTTTGGTGGGATCTATTCAGTTCTGCAATTTTCTGTTCAATTTCCTGATCAAGTTCTTCATGTTGCCGCTTCAGGCTCATTAACAGCTTATGCTGGATATTAAGGAAATTTGGTAAGAAAACACATCCACTTACTTCATAATATAATGAATATAAAATTTTTTGTGATTAAAGTGCTCTTTTGAACGCAGTACTGAACATTCAGGTTCCATAAGAGGCAGGGGATTTCTGAAGTAGGTAAGTATACTAATGTGGATAAAGTGAGCCATATATGAATACAGTAACTATTATAATGAAATAACTAAGAAGAAATTATCGATGAGTTTATGTATGAACTAATTTGGTAATTTCGGTAATGTGAATTACAGGTTCATTTTTTAATACAGAGTTCTACATGTGACTTTTACCAAGTCTGTATGTAGTCAGAGAGAAAAAAGTTAATGGATTACAAACAAGAGAAATGAACTGATAACTACTTGTGTGTCATTAAGATAAAAGTTGTGTGAAGAATGAAATTACTTCAAAACTTATGAATTTTGTCCTCTGATTCAAAAGTTGCTCTTTTTAGGTTAGTTACTTCACGGTGGACACAGTTTACACATGTATCTAACAGACTGTACAAAATATGTGCTGTTGTGTTCAATATTATTTATATTAAACAGAATATTTATACTTTTAGAACTGGACATATTTTATTCATTACCTGATCTACGGCTTCTTTTTCGAATGTGCTACCAACGTTATCACTGTCACAGTTTTGGAGTGACATTGTTGTCACTTCTGGTTCTGTAACAGTAGAAAGAAAAATTGTTGCCTGAGCAGTGAGTGAGCGACTTTTCTGAGCCCTCTCATATCGTGAAGTCCAAACTACCTTAGTCAGTGTATGTGGTATTAAAATCAAATAGACATCATAAACACCTAAATTTATTATTAGAAATAAAAGAACTATGCACAAGAGAATATGAAATATCCCATATTGCCATGTTGATATACGGCATAAATAAAAGATTAATTTGTCTACGCAGTGAAACATCCATGCAAAACTTGAATGGAAGATTTAAGGTGCATTCTTTGCAATTTTACATGTCACTAGCATTGGTATTCACATTTGCTTATGCATATGTTGTAACAGGAACAATTAAAATTTGTCTTCATACAAGTGTACACTTCATATGAGTGTAAAATTAGTTTAACTCCATCATTTCAGTAGTTTGTTACTGTATTATTTCACAGTTCATTCAAATTCATATTTTTTATAGGTTATACTTGTTTGCTTAATGAACTGTATTAGGCCAACTTCATTTATTTTTTGATTGAAACTTACTTAAATTATCCAGATCACTAATAAGCAGAATAACAATAGAAAGAAAAATTAATGAACAATTTAATTGTAGCAGAGTGGCAATTAATTAACATTAGTTATTACGTATTTTTGTGTTCAGTCAAATATTAACCCTATCGAAAAATTTGTGATTACTCTTTCTACATAGCGTATAAATTTTGTTCGATGAATCGAAAAGTTCGATTTTAGGTGTTATATTGATTGGATCGATATGGACATATGATTCACGTTTTAAAACACTTTCAATATTCCCCCCCCCCCCCCCCCCCCCCAACCAACCAAATGTAGCAGGAATTTCGGAGATGAAACATGCGGGCGTTTTGTGCACAAAACGTATAAAATGTTCAAGACGAACTATTTATATTTTGAATGGAAATGAGAAACGAACTGTTTCTAATTGTAAAATAGTTATAGGTCTATCCATATTCATGTCGTCCGGCATAAATAAAGCAGTTTGCCGATTACCGACTGGGAAACATTGGTTTATGGGCCTTCCTTGTATGATTCCTCAATTCCGATTCTGTGAACAGTTAAGTCAGATCTACTTTTATTTTCGTTTGTCGACCTTTACCACGTCTGTAGGTCGCTTGTCACAAACGGCATGACACGACGTCAGATTGTAGATGGAGCACGGCCTCCAGATACCTAGGGCAGTTGCCAAGCCGACAAGGGGCGGTCCTGCCTGTTTGGGTTACACCAGAGGTTAAACCGTAAGTAGCCCGTGTTCTTTGGAATAATCTAAGCCAGTGGTTGTCAGCCTTTTTAGCTGGCGTTCCACTGATTCTAATTTAATACATTAAATGTACCACTAACCAAACTTATTTATGTTAATATTATCTTTTGATTTTCTTACTTAGCTCGAGTGCCACTCAACATTGGCTCGCTTATCATAGGTTGATAAACGCTGATCTAAACAAAGTAAAATGGAAATCAGAACATCTTGCGGAATTGGGCGTAGATGGGAGGCTAATATTAAAATAAATCTTAAAGAAATAGCGTATAAGAATGTGACGGGGCGTGCACTGGCTCGCTGAACGACTGTTGACTTCTCAATAAGGACTGTGTTCCAGGTAAAACGTCAGGCCGGTCCGCGTGGCCACACTGTCTTGGAACATGGATATTTTTTTTTGTTGCCTTGCGGAGGTACACATGTTCATCGTGTATTTCAAAATGATTTAGAAAACATCTGCGACTAGAGAAAGCAGTGGCTCGTATCGAGTCGTAACGTTAATGAAGTATCAAGAATAATGTAATTCGATTGGATTAATAAGTAAACAATATCGTTGTGAAGCCAGAATGAGTTTAGGGATGCATTTCCAAATTCTCCTGTGCCAAACAAATTGATAATATCCAGTCTGGTGCTTTCCAAACTTCACCATGTTGCATCAGCCATGAGGAAAACAGTGAACACATCACTGTTGTTGCTGCTGCTTGCTGTCTTGGCAGATTCCGCGTTAAAGACTTTCGGGTGTATGGTCCAATATAATTTTTATCGCATAATATTATCTGCGGTTTTCCTCTTCAGATGTCATCCTTCAAGCATTCCGTGTCTTGGTTAGTCATTTCATTCTACATCCGCTGCACCATTTATGTTAAGAACAATAAGTCCGGCGAGTTCGTCTTCGAAACTCGATTCGTACCCACATTCAACAAAACATTAATATTATTAAACAACTTAAGGAAACTCGGTATGACAACCATGCCATAGGAGGCATGCATACGTTTTTCACGTTTCCATCCAGGTTCAGTTCAAAAGGTTCTGAGTGGGCGACTGTTCGATACTCATGTGTGTTCACACAGGCCTTTTTTGAGGACTTACGAACAATGAACAAAACTTTCCAGTTTAAGAAGCACTATGGAATTATAGGAAACGTAAAATTGCGTGTCACATAAGCCACTGTTAGTTCAAAGCACTCGTTACAGACTTCCTTCTCCCCTCCGTCCCCTTGCAAGAGATCTATACTAGTGTCGTATCAGCAGTAGTTTCAGTTGCTGACAGATTACTTCGTAAGACTGTTGTGTTCCAATTAAACGAAGAGGCGGGTAACCTTCCGCTAGAATGTTACGGTGTGTGGTCCTAAATTAATATAGGTCACGGTAACACCATTGTTGACGAACATGGAATTCTTATCTGTATTTTATTTCCAACGGAAGTTTGCACAAGTGCAGACAAAGTGTTAAAGTAAATGATTATCGAAACAATTCTACTTCTGTCTTTTGTGCTTCAGTATATATTAAGAAAAAACAACTGATCAATATAGTGACAGTGTTCGTTACATTGGGATTAAAGACATCTTCGGAAGAATATCTTCTGTAAGAGGTAAGCAACTCATTCAAAAGATGTATGACCTTACTTCATACTTGCCTACATTTGTTTCAATAAACAATAAATGTGCTCATGACTATTGGTAAGACCTAATATACGAAATAAAAGACTGTTCCATATCTAAATACACTATCGCGGCACCAGCTCTGACCAATCTTAAATCTTGCACCAAAGAAATAGTGTCTACTAGACATTTACTACTGTATTAACATAGCATCTGGAAGAATTTCATGAGGCACCGGATGGTAAACACATAATTCACTCTGTCGTAAGAGAAGCCAAAGGTTCACCGCCGCTAATATCATTGACCCCCAGTATTTTCAACCACGCCCTTCACCATTCTCGCGACATATTTTCCTAAGATGGCATCTCGAAGTTTCACTATTCTGCACGAAAAGTTAAAATTGTAAAACGCTAAATTATTTTTATTTTTAGTGTTCTGTCTGAGGACAGGTCCATATGAACAGGATCCTTCGATCCTTTTCTCGGACTGGGACCTTTTCATATACGTTCTTGGCAGATGATCCAGAAGTGGTTTGCCATTGCCTTCTTCTGTGTGTGAATGGAGTAATTGTTGGGATGCCACGGAGAAACCGGGGAAGCCCCCGGAGGAAAACTCCGTGTTGCCTAGACCACGGCCTTGCCCAACACAAGTTATAAATTCAGGCACCGCCTGGAATCGAACACGAGACCCCCAGGATTACAAGGCCAGCGTTCTAACCGCTAGACCACCGTGGCGGCTCTGACTATTTAGTAACATGACGTAAATGTTTTATAGAAGTGTTTACAGGCAGATCAACTTGTCTTGCCACTTTGAATGGGACAGTCAAATGTTTATTGTAGATATAGAACTTATATAAGTACCTTTACCCGGGACGATCTGTCAGAACACATTTGTCCTCTACTTGCGTGGCCATAATACGTACACTAGAATAACTCCATAGAAGAGCGTGTGTCTTTAGAAGCTGATAGTCGCTCAGCTAGCCAATAAATTGCCCGTACTTTGAGGAATTCATGTTCAAAGAGCCCAGGATAATAAAATAATACTATTAATTCTCCATCAAATATTGTCCTAGCTAGGTCGAAGTTGTGATTTGACATTGGTCTAGAGCATCGTTTCTCAACCTATGGTACGCGTACCACTGATGGTACGCGAGCCAGTCTTGAGTGGTACGCGAACTACAACAGATTTCCCTAAATCGATTTGGTTACTGGTGAATTCAATGTGTTAAATTAGACTTAGTGGTACGCCAGCGAAAAAGGTTGAGAACCCCTGGTCTAGAGCAAGCTCAGTCAAAGTCTGTATCCTAAGTATGTGCTTTCGAAGACATTCCAAAATGATCTATACGTTGTTTCTCCGTTCCGGTCCAGCTATTATTGACTTAATTACCCAAACAGTGTACACTAGGCGCTTTACTTGAAAGTTCTGCGTGCTACTTGAGCGCAACTCGCTGAAAACTTACTGGAGCGGATAATGTTTCGGACAAAAGTAGTAAAACACATGTTATGGCCAGTGCACATTTTTCTGTTTTAGACATAATTAAACAGAAGCTGTTTTATGCTATCTCACATCACTAGAACTGATGGGCTTATTTTGATATATTATATATTCGATGACGCTGTCGGTTCATTATTTTTAGAAGAGATCATCAGACGTTTTGTTCACTAATTTCAAATCCATTTTCTAACTTGTTTATCGTGTTCACTATAATGAATAATTAATGCAGATTAATTGACTTCAAAGCCATTAACCAATAAACAAATGATAATTTCCTTGAAAATAACCGTTATCATCAGCATTGCGCTTTCGTGGTTAGTGACGTCACTTCGTGTTCATTTGTATAGTATTGAAATAATGCATAATAAAAGCTGCATATGAAATTGTGAACGATTGACAGCCCCACCAATAATAAGGAAGTATTGAAACGGTTGTTGAGATTTAATTTTGTTTGCAGTGGAATGTTGGTACAATTCCTCTGGTTACGACGTTACTGTGAATGAATGTTAATTGTGACTTCATCCGTTGTTTTAACCTTTGTTGTAAAATGCTTCAAACAGACCAGTGCGAAATCACCACGGTGCTTAGAGGGGCTTAAAAAAATTGATAGAAGTGTCGGACACTGCCGCAGTTATTTTCGAGAAAACGTCAATCGTGTATAGTTTATTGAAATTAAACAAAATTTTTGTTTTGAATCGTTTAATTCATTTGCAACTTACATTTATTGAATACAGGGTAGTGGTATGAGAAGTAGGATACATATGGCGTTTTCGGTGTCATTCTCTTTGGAATTTTGTGCTCTACGCATTCGTGCCCGATTTTTGTAATTCTGGTTTTACTTTGCCCTCCTATATCGCGACATTTTAAGAAAATCGGGAAATTTTCAAACTTTTTTCAAATTCACAGCCTCGTATCTTGTTGAGTTTTTGAGATACACACTTGGAGATTAGGATGAGTTGTAACATATACACTCCTCTTCAAAACAACACTTGGTTCACTCGGATCGGATAATTAGTCTCTGAGATATGATCCCGTTTATGGACACGTGTCGAATCCGGAAAGTCGAAAATCATGGGTTCACTTTGCGCGTGCGCAGTTCGCGACGTCCGGCCGTCACGAATGTCGGAGCGGTACTGAAACAAACGTTCATCCTTCCTCTTTAAAACGAGACTAAGATGGCGGCTCTATGTCTATTTTTAGCCGAGTTATTGAAGTTTGAAATTACTTCGACAGAAACTGTCGCTCATTTGGGCGCGATTGCCTCCCCACACCCGGCATCGATTTTAAACACGTTTTCACGTCAAAAAGTTGCAAGGCGGTGTAGCAGAAGCCAGTCGGATCCAGTTTG